AGGTACATGCCCTTGACCGGAATCGAACCTGGGACCCTTCAGTCCGCAGGCTGACGCTCTATCCACTGAGCCAAACCGGTCTGGCAAGTTAGGGTTTTTCAAAATGCTGCCACGCCGAGCTCAAAAGGTTCGCCATCGCTGTCCTAGGAGGAGCAGAGGAAGGAGGACGGACAGTGTCCACGGGGCAGAACCGACGCGGTTCGAGGGGCCTGTGCGGATGCCAGGGTGACATCCGAGTCTGGAAGCCCAGACGCTAATCCAGGCTGGCACCGGAGGCCTGACCGTCATGAGCGTATCAGTGTGAGAGAGCAGCTGACACTGCGAAGTGCGCATCGATCACATGAGATTCAGGGGAAAGGAGAGGGTCGGGGCAAGTTAGAGCTTCCCTGAGTGGCTGCCGGGAAAGAAAGGGCTTCTCAGGGAGTTTCTCTCTCACACGCGCTGACTGGGCAGCGCTCTCACCCTCTCCCCTGAGTCCCCCTGAAACCTACAGCATGACCTGAAACGGTACCAGCGGCCCCAGGGAAGGTCTAGAAGATTCGAAGTATGAACACACTGAAAAGCATAAACGGGAAAGATGTCTAGCGCCAAACAACAAAGCGGAACTTGGCGGCCAAATGGCCGTCCCCCCCCAAGAAAGTTGAGGAAATAGTTGACGTCTCTTTTCAAAGACATGAGAGGCCTGTAACTTCTTTAAACAAGAGAAACCAGTTCGAGTATGACTCAATGGAAGTATTAAGAAGTCAAATCAAATCTTTATTGGAAATGGTGAAAAGCAGAAGTTCTGCTTCTGGGTAGGATGTGGTGGATCTCTGCAGGCCACCACTCCCGTTGCAACAAGGAGGAGGAAACACATATAAGATGATAATCGTCATTTTTAAAGATAACGGAGAGTAGTTGGGAGAGATAAGAACCAGATGAACGGAGATGCCAAGCAGGAAAGGGCCCCGCCCAGGTGAACGCTCGATGGGTGGTTATTTACGTCCCTGAGACATGCCATGAGCAAAATTGTCCCAAACACAGGAAAGGAGAAGTGAGCCGTTTCTGTGCTATTGGGCCCAAGAGGAGCCCAAAATGCAAAGCCAGTTTTTCCCACAGAACATTTGCTGAGTTTTGGAGCCATCGAGGCCATTGGGAAGGGGCTGGGCTGGGAAGACAAGTCCTGCAGCCTTGCAGGATTTAGAGGGTGGACCGGAAACAAACCCATAACTCCCCCTTAAGATATTGGCCAGATCTCGAACCCGTGGGTTGGGAGGCTAAAGAGCAAACCCTAGAATCTCTGAAGAGCAGATTTTGAAAGCTGAAAGAGGCGGAAACTGGCCAGGCTTCCAACCCCAAATCCTAGAGGGCCATTCCTAAGGGACAGGGACAATCCAGGGGAGGACTGAGAGTTACAGAGCCATAACTCTGCCCCAACTTAGCTCAGCACTTGACTACTGACTACAACAGGAACAAGAAAAATATCTCGAGGTGACTAGCTCCTCTGGGTTGGGTGGTATAGGTGGGGAAGAGAAAAGGAATAACATAGTCCCTAACTTTCTTTTTTAAAATATATTTTTGTTGATTTCGGAGAGGAAAAGAGAGGGAGAGAGAGATAGAAACATCAATGACGAGAGAGAATCATTGGTCAGCTGCCTTCTGCACGCCCCCTATTGGGGATCGAGCCCACAACCCAGGCGTTTGCCCTTGACCAGAATCGAACCTGGGACCCTTAAGTCCGCAGGCCGACGCTCTATCCACTGAGCCAAACCACCTAGGGCTCCCTACCCTTCTTGATCGGCTGCCTCCTGCACGCCTCACACTGGAGATGGAACCCGCAACCCAGGCATGTGCCCTGACCAGGAATCGAACGGTGACCTCCTTCTTATACACCCAATATGCAACATGCAAACAAAAATTATAAAATGTGCCCCAAAAAAGGATAAAAAAATAAAAAAAAAACGGGGCCAACACATAAGAGAAAACATAAACAACAGAAGCAAGACCACAGATGATCCAGATATTGGAGTTGGCAGACAAGGATTTAAAAAAAACTATGGTTAATTTGTTAAATGGGGTGGGGGGGTGGTGGAAAAATTAGAAGGAAATATGGAGACTTTTAACAGGGTTGTAATTTATTTAGAAGGAGCAGGTAGAACTGAAAAATCCCATCCCCCAAATTACAAACTCACTGGATGGGTTTCATAAAAACTCATAGAACTAAAGTCACACTTGTAGAGATTGAAGACAGAATTAGTGAACTTGAAGACAAATCAATAGAAGGTGTCTAAATTGAAGTAGAGAGAGAGGAAAAAAAACAAGAAGGAAGTGGGGGGTAGGGAGCAGCCTAAGGCACAGATGGGAATTCATGATATGAGTGATTGGAGTTCCAGAAGAGACGTTAGGACCAGAACAAACTGACAATGACTCCAACAGGAATAAGAAAGACCACGGATACACACAGCAACACTGATGAATCTCAAAGACGTTGAGTAAAGCAGTCAGACATGTTCGAATCCCACTTCTGACACCAAAAAAGAAAAAAAAAAGGCAGACATGAAGGAGTGCATACTTTCCATCCCATTTCATGAAGTTCAAGAACAGGCAAAAACTAAGCAATAGAGGAGTCAAAACAGTGGTTACGTCTGAGGGGTACTGCTGACGGGAAGGGCTGAGAGCACGGAGGGGCACAGCTCCACCCCTGCAGGTCTCTGCAGGGCCTTGTGGGCAAGGCTTGGGCAGTCTGCCTGGAGTCTTGACCGTCGGGAGAATGTGCGACAATTGCTCGTGGAGCAAGGGGACACGCAGCCATATTCAACTGTTGGTGACAGACAGCGGAGACTGGCCCACTCCCTCCGGGGAGCCGTCGTACGCCGAGTAGCAGCAGTCATATCAGCCCTTATTTTTGGCCCAGGTAACCTCGCTGCTGCGAAGCTGTCCTGAGGTCATCATTCAAAAAGAAGACACATGTGGAATTAATGGAGATATTCATCGCAGTATGACTTATTCTGCTTCAGACTTACAAAACTCTGCCTGGCCGGTGTGTCAGGTAACCTCGCTGCTGCGAAGCTGTCCTGAGGTCATCATTCAGAAAGAAGACAAATGTGGAATTAATGGAGATATTTATCGCAGTATGACTTATTTTGCTTCAAAATCACAAAACTCTGCCTGGCCGGTGTGGCTCAGTGGTTGAACATTGCCCTATGAACCCGGAGGTCACCGTTGGATTCCTATCAGGACACATGCCCGCAATCCCCAGTGAGGCAGCCGATCCATGATTTTCTCTCGTCACATGTTTCTACACTCTCTCTCCCTCTTCCTTCCTCTCTGAAATCAATTTTAAAAATTAAAAACAAAAAACACACAGCCCTAACCAGTTTGGCTCAGTGGCTAGAGCAGTGATAGC